ATGTATTTTAATGCAGGCAGGTGATGGAAACGGATAAAATCCAGAGCGCTGCATCGTGTCTCATTTACTTCCCAACAGCACTTCATACCACATTTGAAATTGTTATATTGGATGAAAACGTCAAATGTTGCTTTTATGACAAAAGAATACCCTGATTATGGAACTAAACTAACTCGGTTGAGTATGATGGCGAATGTATAGGTTTGGTCTTCATTCAATAAAGAGGGAGGAGATTTCAGTCGCAAGTGATAGCTCAGTCGGCACCTCTTTAATCAGCCCATCCAGAACTAGGCAGCGCACACCTTTGTTGTTCTTGTAAGCTGTGCACATCCACTTTGAATGGGATGCAACGTAACACCACCATCAACCAGTTCGTTAACGATACTAACCATTCCCGGATCTTCTCCGTGGTGTTAGCCCATCATACAACAACTTCGGATTGTTCTTTCGTCTTGGGTAAAAATCGCAACACAAATGGCCCTTAATTAGAAGGCTTTCTATACCATCTTGAAATTGAATGCGACACGAGCGGTGTTTTGAAGTGTGGAGACGAATTATTGTCCGATGAGTGATGTAAATTTTTCTCACACATTGCGTTTGTTAGGTTACATTTATCCTAGCTCCGATAATTCTTTTTGTTGTAATTCTGAAATTCACCACATTAATCCAAGGACCATCTTTTATTGCGGTTGCATTCATATATACGATGCATCTAATTTTACTTTTTTCCTCAGATGGTCTCATCGCCATCCATTGTACTCATGGAGTGAACCGAACAGGATACCTAGTTTGTCGGTAAGGACGTGTAAAATCGTTGGTCTTATGCTAGGTATCTGATTGATGTCTTAAAAATGGACCCCGCGGATGCGCTCAGAGGTAAGCTGTTCTTCTATCTCTGATCTCATGTGAAAAACAATGTTGCATCCAGAATTTGAATTCGCGCGTGGTCATCCACTTGAACGTCAGAACTACATTGACCACCTACTGTCGCTACGTCCAACTCGGTCATCAGAATTCGACTAACATTCCAGTGGAGTTTATCAAGATGATGCATGTACAGTTGTATGCCTGCCAAATTCATGGCTTATTTGTGAATATGTTTTAGTTCTCTCTGACTACCAAATCATTTGTGGTAGTCCTGTATGGGGAAATTGCACTCACAGTTTTGCCCTCTAGTATAAACCCTAAAGAAATCATTTACACTCATAACGAGTATTTGGATTGTTAGGGTCCTAAATTGTGACACAATTGGTTCGTCAGGGAGCAAACGACTAAAATACATGGATTTGGTGTAATGTGTATCGGAAGGAGACGAATAACATGGTGATTCGAAATGCTAGCTGGACGAACAAAGTGCCTCAATCCAGTTGAGTGCAGTAATAGCTACAATGGATGGGAGAATGGTCTTGGAGGACATAAACGAAATAGAAATGTTCACTTGCAGTCAACTCTTCTAACAATGACCAATATACATAAGCTTTTTTTTATACCAAACTCGCATGAATTGAAGATTTTTGTTGTTTGTAATCTGTCGTGGTATTTTGAGATAACGTTTGGAGATCGGGCTAGCTCAGTGGTTGAGGTGCGAACTACTGCCTGGAAAGTCCTTGGTTCGAACCAAGCCTCGGCATCTAGACTGCTTCTGTCTATGCTTTAGCAGCCTGGAATTATATCAGCCCTTGTGCTTCTTTCGGGTGACATGGCAGTTATGCACCGAAAGGGTATCGAAAGGATGATTGTTGGGATTTTTTGAGACAACTTCAGAAGAATAGCGATAATTTTCCCTTTCCGATTCGTGCTTTGTCTTTGCGAGGAGGCACTTTCCGGGTGCGAAATTTCAAGTTCCATCAGGAATCGAGATCCCAGGGTTGGGTTACTGTGATGATGGATTTAAGTCGGCCAAACGCAATATTTTTGCGTACATTTCGGCTAATAAATGCATATGCGGAGAAAAAGAGGTAGACGGACAAAGATTTTGCTTCAGTGGCCACCCGGTTCTTCGTTCTTCATCAATGAGCACGTTTTCGAATTTTGTGATAAGAGTGCAGTGGTCAATGGACTAGCACTATTTTCAAAACTCATCTCAAAATTCGTTTGCCAGGAGGATAGACGGTGTCATTTCATACTTGT